CTTCTGTATCAATATTTAATTATAATAAAAATTTAATCAATATCTTTAATATTTTAAAAAAAAATAATTTGTATTCTTTATATATGTATTTTATAATATGTATTCTTTATATATTCTATATATATTTTATATATACATATTGTATTATACAAAATATATATATTCTTTATATAGAATATATATATTTTATATATACATATTATATTATACAAAATATATATAATTAATATAATATGATACAATTAAATAAATATATACAAACATAAAATTATATAAATAAATTTTTAAATATATGTTTTATATTAATAAGAGGTGTTAGTGGAATACGAAATAAAACATTAATTATAAATTTACCGGGATCACCAAAAGCTGCAAAAGAATGCTTAAGTGTAATTGCACCTGCTATACCACATGCTGTTGATTTGATTAGAGATAATAAAGAAAAAATAAAAAATATGCATAAAAATATGCAAAATAATATTGTAGAAAAACAAGATAAAATTTCAGTAAGAAATATTCTTTTTATTAAATAAACAATTTTCTATACTCAAAATAAAATATAAATAAATAAATTTTATTTTTTAGTCATGTTTAACTAGTATAGTTAAACGTAGTAGGGAATCTTTATATCCAATGATTAGTGTGGAAGAAGCTTTACAGTTGATTCATAAACATGTAGAACCTTTAAATTCTAATGGTAAATCAGAAGAGGATTTAGAAAAGAGTCATAACAGAATATTGGATGGTGATTTATATTCTAAATATGATTTACCACCGTTTAGAGCTTCTATTAAAGATGGTTATGCAGTCTTAGCAAATGATGGAAAGGGCAAAAGAAGAGTATTAAGTGGAATAAAAGCTGGAGACACTGTAAGTAATATATTAAAGATATTTTACATTTTATATTTTAAAGCATTTATAATATATCAGTGTTATTAAATTCATAGGCTACTGCAATTAAACTTAAATCTGGTACATGTGTAAGAGTAAATACAGGTGCTCCAATTCCAGATGGTGTGTAATATATTTAATCAAATGTTTTTGCTTATTTTTTACTGATTTTTCTTTTTAATTTAAAGATGCAACAGCAGTTATTCAAGTTGAAGATACTAAGCTTATAAAAAGAACTTCAGATAATATGGAAGAACAAGAAATCGAAATCATGAAAGAAGTAAAATCTGGACAAGATATTAGGTATTTTGTTTTTAATTATATAATGTTAGTTAAATAATAATTATATTATTTTTTTTTATTTTTATTTTCTTTAAGATCTATTGGTTGTGATATTAAAAAAGGGGAATTAATTTTAAAATCAGGAACAAAATTAGGAGCAGTAGAATTAGGCCTTGCTGCTGCATGTGGTTACAAAAAATTATTAGTTGTTGATCTTCCAAAAATTGGTGTGTTATCTACAGGAGACGAATTACAAAATCCTGGAACTACTTTATTGCCAGGACACATATATGATAGCAATAAAATTACATTATTATCAATATTAAAGGAAAATGGTTTTGATGCTTTGGATATGGGTATTGCAATAGATGAGTAAGTCTATTTATATCTTATTTCATTTATTTAAAAAAAATTATTATATAATTGTTATATATATATTATATAGTGAGAATATTATGATAGACAAAATTAACTATATTTTAACCCAAACTGATGTACTTATAACATCAGGTTCTGTATCAATGGGTGATAGAGATATATTGAAGTCTATTTTGCAACATTATTTCAATGCTACTATACATTTCGGTAATATTATTAAAGTAATATAATTAAAGATAATTATATTCAATGATAATTATATAATGTTTAAAAATTTAAAACTTTAGGTCGTGTAAATATGAAACCCGGGAAACCGACTACTTTTGCAACATGTTTTTTTCAAAACAGAAAAAAATATTTATTATGTTTACCGGGTAATCCAGTTTCTGCAACTGTTACTATGAATTTATTTGCATTACCTTTACTGAAACAATTATGTAAAGATTTTTCTATACCTATAATTGTGAAAACGAAAGTATGTAATATATTTATTTATTTTAAATTATTAATTTATATAATACTTAATATATATTTTGATAATAGTTAATGTCATCTTATAATTTGGATCCACGTCCTGAGTATGCAAGAGCAATTTTAAAATGGAGTAGTACGGATATTTTACCACTAGCTTATAGTACTGGAGATCAAATTAGTAGTAAATTACTTAATTGCAAAAATGCAAATGCATTATTAATGTTACCAGCGCGTACAACAGAAAAGACTATATTACAAGAAGGAGATGTGGTACAAGCAATGTTATTAGGATTTATGGAATAAATATAATTAAATGAATATAACATTAAATAGAATTAAAACAATTTTTTTGAAAAATTTTATCACTTTTTGTTTTATTAATAAATTTGGGAATAATATACATAATTAATATTTCTTAAAAGAAATATGTTTTAAAATTTATATATATCTATATTTTATTTATTTTATAATTTTTGTAATAAAACTATTTTTTAAATATTTTTAAATATATTTTTAAAAAACAGTTGATCCTATTTCCTGACTATTATTTTAATAAAATTATTTAAGATATTTTCTTTAATAAATTGAAATATTATTTTTTAAATTGAAATATATTTTTTTATACTTATAAATCTGCACTCTTGGATACTTATTTGTCAAAAGATTCAGTTGGCTACCCAATAACTTGCGATTTTTCAAATTTATCGATAGTGCAAAGTTTTGGAAAAAATTATGTATTAAATTCTTTTGTAAACAGAGATTCTTTTTGTTTTATAGATTTTGATCTTTCCATTTATAATATTATGCGAATAATTTATAATATTAATATTTATATAATTTAATAATTTATATAATTAAATTATTATTTTTTTTTTGCTATATCAACATATCTTTTCTTGACTAAAAATTTTAAACCATTCATTTTATTTATAATAAAACGGTATCAACAATAAAACTAATGGCCATTTTCAATTATTTCAATATTCGATAATTTTTTTAATTTTTAATTTATTTTTTTTTTAATTTTTTAATTTATTTAAAAAAAAATACGATTTTTTGAAATAATATGAATCTTTCAAATCCATGATATTATAAAAGACATAAATCATTATATTATGTTGTTTGCTTTAAAAATAGAATCGACTCTTTATATTATAATTGCCATTTTAATATTTTCTTCTGTATTTTTTTTATAATAATAAGAATTCTGTTATTTTATATTAACAAGTATATTATATATATTGCATTGAATTCGTAATGTTACTTTACTGATTTTTTTCAGAATATTGCATACTAATCTCAGCGATTTCCTTTTTATTTATGATTTGTAGTTTGTCTGATCTATTATTCTCTAAATTCTTTTGGATTTAAATTCATTTCATATCATTGATAGCAGATCGAAGTGAACAATTATATCGATTGTAAAATCCATATGAAAATATCATTTCTGATGATAATTTTATTTCCTTTAGAAAGTCTATATTTTTGATTCTTTAGATAGATCAATAATTTTTAAAACTTCATATTGATTTTTAGCAAGTGAATTTTCAATGGCATCGACGATCAATTTACCGATTATTTATATTTACTAATCTAAATGTTTATAAATTTTATTTTAATAATATTAATTAAAATTATTGATTATGAGATATTTGAATTTTTGATATCCAGAAAAGAATATTTGATATCCAAAATTTGAACACTTACAAAATTTATTCAGATATTTCGTGAAAGCGATGATACAATTTTGGTTCAAAAACCAATCGTTTATGATTAATGTTAGTAAAAAAAAAACTTATAACTTAGAATAAATTTAAAAAAAATTAAAAATTATAGATTAGAATAGATTTTTGTCAATATTGGTAAAATAATATTAGTAACTAATAATATTAATAACTAATATTAATAACTAATAATATTAATAACTAAAAATAAAATAATTGAAAATAATAAAATAAATTTTTTCTTATAGGATATTTGAATAATTTTTATGAACATAACAATTTATAGTATCAATAATAATTTGTATATGTTTTTTTATACTAATATTTAATAATAATTAATAATAATATTTATTTATATGTTTAAATTTTAGTTCATATGATATAGATTGGATTGATATACTACTCCTTCCACAAAAGTTGATAAGTTGAATATATTTTAAGTTATTATTGTATATTCCTGAAATTTAAAAATCCATCATTATTCTGAATTAAACTCACTCATATTTAGTTTTATTACTAAAATTTTTTTTTTCTTTTTTTATATACATTTCTATACTTTGTATACATTTGTCTATATTTATTAGTGATAAGTGAATTTGTAATTAATGATAAGTAATTCTTGATTATGTAATGCAATTTCAGTTATACTCTAAGCTGTTACTATTATTATTTTTTTTTTTATTGAATTAAAATAATAATCAATCTAATTGGCAAATCGATTAAATACTATGCAATTTAAAATCAGTATTCATTCAGCTATACCAAAATAATATCATTTTGTAACTTTATTTGTGAGAATTTTGGATAAAAACATGTTTTTTCTATATCAAATTCTTTTTCAGCATTCAACAATTAATTTAACAAATTTATTAATTTTTTTTTTACAATTGTTTTTGGTTTGAAATTAAAATTGCTTTTGAAATCGTTTTTCTAATTATATTTTAATTAATCTAAGTTTAGTCAGTAGCGATGAACAGCAATAATATAAATACGTATTCTTTTTTGATTAATGATCCTAATGATAGATCGAAATTCCGGAATAATTAAATTTTCAGTATAAAAAAATAATGCCATTCTTGGATAATCAATTCTAATTTTATTAGCATTTTTTAATTTTTCTTTCCATTACTGCAATTTATGATCCATAAATATCGAGATTCAATAATGATAAATTTGCATTCTAATCAGATATTGCAGAGAATCAGATATTACAAAATTTTTCTGTTTCAATTGTTGTTTTTCAAAATATATTTTCGAATATTACTAATTAATCCACATTGAAAAAATTGAAAAACTGATTAACTAAATATTCTATTGGTATCTTTGTTAAAAATTTTTATACAGTTGACAATCGTATGAAAATACTAATTTTTTTCTTAAGGTGATATATTTATCTTATTTATTTATTCCGTATGAAAAATAAGTAATTAATCATATTGCTCTTTAAATTCTTCTTTATATCTTTTTCAATTGTTTGAAAAAATATTTGTACTTTTTGTGTTTTCTTTTCTGAATTACGAAAGAAATAGTAATAATTTTTTGTAATAAATAATAAAATATATCTACAAATCCAATAATATATTATAAAATTTACTATATTATATCAAATTTGTTAATATTATATTTCATTTCTTTATGCTAATGTTTTCTCTACGATCTAAATGCGTTATCTCAATCTGTTTTTATATATTATCTCAATAATTTTTCATATTCTTAAGTCCTTTATTTTGTATTTGTATATTTTGTAATTTGCAATGAAATTGAGAAAAACAACGCTTCCAATATATTTTTGTACTCTGATGATCATTTAATTAAAACTATTTATTTGATTATCGCGCGAGAGATTATAGATGTCACCATAGTACGAAGAAGTGATTCCATCTAGTGAGATTAAAGAGAAAACAGAGAATCTATTATTTAGTAACGTATAAAGGAAAAGTGGGGGAGCGGCGCGAGGAAGAAAATGGCCGACAAGGCAACGGTAAAAGGGCAGGGACGTCTAGTGAGATTCATGTTTTGGAAGAAAGAAATGTGAAATTCGTATTAGCTCTCGTACAAGCAGACGGAAAGTATTAATAAAACGATCGTGTTATTGTTTTCTTTTAGTGGTGTGTTTAAGTAAAATATTACCAGTGTAATCTATTATATTTGTATATTAATTTATTGTTTAAAAAAGAGTTCGCGGGCCGTGTGTAGGAATAAAAGGGCTCGCTAGAGGTAAACATAAATTGTGTTAGTTTACGTTTATTTTTTATCATTTAATTATGTATATATAATAAATGTGCAAGTGATTTTATTGAAAATACTCTACTTGGGACTTTTCTAATAGTATATAAGTCTGGCAAAATTTCGTACGTGACAAATTCATCGATCAGTAGAGTAGGTTTATGTTAGCCACTTGTGGCCATCTACGGATAGATTTAAAAGGTATTATTCCTATTATTTTTATCTTTTTAATTTCTTGATTTTTAACAGTAGCAATATATTTTTTATGAATTTAATATATTTTTTTGACAAAATACTAGAGAATCCTATTAAAAAATCTCGAACAATGAGTTTATCTGACGTATGTTAAATCATTGAAGCAATGAAATTTAAAGGGATCGATTTGTCAACAAGTCGATGAAAGTGCGCGCACCCGACAATCTTGATCGTAATTCTTTTTCATTTTATCATTATTATATAATTTGAATATTTTATTATATTATTTTATTTAATTATTTAGAAATATAGAAATATTTTTACTCTTAAATACTTGTAAATATGTAAACGTGTTTCATTTTTTATAATATTAAGAGATATTGGGTATTAATTAATCATCATTTTAAAGTTCTTACAAAAAATGAAATTATTTTTATAAGAATTTTTATATCACAATTTTTTAATACACAAAATTATTTTTTTTTATTGCTAAAAATGTATCTTAAAAAAATTAATTTCAAAAATTATTTTGTTTTTGTATGTTATATTATTTCATTATAATAAATATTAAATTTATAAATATTTTTTTTCAGATATAGTCAGCTTGAAAAAAGATAAAATTTATATTTTACAATGGCAGTTAGGTAGTTTTAACAATTTGCTCAGTGCTTTTTTTTTAAATATTGAGCATATTTCTATCAAATTGAAAATGTAAAGAAAATAATCATAATGAAGCCACAGAAAAAGGCAACAGTTGCCCGGAAGGCAACAAAAATCCCAACAATTGCTAAAAAACGCCGCTCATTTTTAGAGAAATCTATATCTGATATAAGGAAAGAAAAAAAATCTAAGAAACTTGAAAAAGGAGAAGATGCAAAAAAAAAAATAGAAAATGATAAGAAGAAATCAGAAAAAACAGAAGAAAAAAAGAAAATAGAAGATAAGAAAAAAATTGAAGAAAAGCGAAAAGAAAAATCTGAAAAAGTGGATGAAAAAAAAAAATATATAAAAGATTATGAAAAAAAGTGTGAAAAAGTTGAAGAAAAAAAATTAGATAAAACAGATGAAAAAATCATAGATGAATGTACTTATGATAGTACAGAAAAAAAGAAAGTACAAAAAATAGAAGAAAAAATAAAATTGGAAAAACAAGCTATGGAAAATAAAAGAAAGTTTGAAAAAATAGAAGAAAAAAAGAAAAGTGGAAAATTTGATGATGAGAATATAGAAGATCAATCAAAACTTTTAAATATTACAGAAGAAAAAGATTTACATGAAGAAAAAATAGATATCATTTGTTCCATTTCTAAGAAAAAATTTAAAGACGAAAAAAAGAAAGATTCAAAATTAATAAAGCCTGATATCAAGGAAAATATGAAAATATCTGTGATAAAAGATAAAAAATCAGAACGTAAGAAACTTCTTGATAAAGGTACAATAAATACTAAAACTTCTTTAGCACGAACTAAAAAAGATTCTAAAACAAAATCATTACAAAAAAAAGGTATCTCTAGAAAGACAGTTTTAACAAAAAAATCACATTTATCAGTAGTTCAAAAATTTGTAGACAAAAAAATTAAATTAAACAGATTGGTAAAAGATGAAGAAACATCTGTAAGTGAAGAAGATGAAACAATGAAAAGAACTAAAAGAAAAAATGTTAATATTTCAAAAAATAAAATTATGCAAGAAAAAAAACCAAAGTTAGGAAAACATATGAAAGCTAAATTGCCTTTAAAAACTAATAAAATAAATTCTACATTAAAAAAAGATGATAAATTAAAAACATTTGTGGAAAAAGTTATACCTAAGAAAAAAATAGATACAAAAGAAACAGAAAAATTACTAGCTGAACATAAAAAAATCATGAACAAAGATGAATTAAATGAAGAAACACATACAACAGACATAAAAAGTGAATTAGAAGAAGATAAAGATATTGATAAAAATGGAAAAGAAGAGCAAGCACAATTAAAATTACAAGATGTCAAAAAAATTGTTAAATGTGCTCCAAAAATAAATAAAAAAATAATAAAAAAGAAAACTGTAAAAGTACAAATGGAAAATAATAATCAATTGATTTCTTCTTCAGAAGAAACATCTTCTGAAGAATCTAATAAACAAATCAAGGTTTGTGAAGATAATTCAAATGATAATGTTTCTTCTAAACAAGAGCAAATTGATAGTGAAAATATAAATGATACAGATTTAAAAGATGAGCCAATTAATGGAGATAATGTAAGTAATAATGCATTATTATTAGAGTCAGAGGATGAAAGTGATGATGAGACCAAAAAAAATAAACAGAAAGAAATTAAGAGAAAAGAAAGAGCTAATTCACCATCAGAGCATGAACGTATTAGAAGAATGAGATTGTTCGGATTTTGGAATGGACCAAAACGACATAGAGTTGCTTCTTTGAATGCATTAGCTAAAGTTCATTGCTTATATGAAAATGAAACTGGAGGAGTTTATCTTGGTGGTTTCTGTAAACCAAGACCTGAAAAAGAAAAACAAAAGAAAACTAAAGAGGAAAAAGAAGAACAAATTCGTAAAGAAAAAGAAAAGAAATTAGAAACAAAAACAGAAGAAAATATACCAAAAAGAAAACTTAGAAATGTACCAGGATTACGTGGAAAACATTGGGATATGCTAGAAAGTTCTTCATCTTCAACTTCTTCTGATGATGAATGTGAACGTGATAAAAATATGGAACATAGTAAGAAAAAAATTATCAAACGAAGAAAAAAAAATGAAGAAATAATGGATTTGAAAGATATGGTTGTTTGTAAAAGGATGGCAAGTCTTAATGCTACAGCTATTCTAGCTGCTTCCTATTCGGATGAAAAAAATCGTTGTGGTAGTAGTTTTGATTCTTCTAGTGAATCAGAAGTGGAAATTATTAAAAAACGTAAACAAAATGATTCTGATATTGAAAAAAGAAAATCAAGACAAAATTCAGAACAAGATGAAGTTTTAAAACCATCTAATAAACTTGTTATTGTTAATCAAGATACAGATGTTACTATTACTGGTATTTTATTTAATTTTATTAATTTCATTTTTTATATTTGTTATTAAAATAAATATTATATATTATTAATTTTATTTAAGGTGTTTATGTTAATCAAACTCGATCTACACATCATGAAGGTTTTTGCAGTATTGCTGGTATGCAATATAGAATAAGTTCAACAAGTCATACTCAAACTGCAGCTACTGCAGTTGCTACTGAACTCCATGACCAGGTTTGTTACTTATATATTTAAAGAATTTTTTTTAATTTTAAAAACATATATTATTATATTATATAAACAACATTAAATATGCATTTATATTTTTTGAAAAAGCAAAAATTGGAACAACCTTGCAAATCATATACACCATTGGGAGCATTATCTTCTATGCAACCACCAGGTAGTCAGAATAATCATTCAAATATGTCACCTCGCAGACATTCTGCATTTTCAGCACCACATCAACATGGTGGTAATTATGTTTTTTATTATAATTATTTAATAAAAATATTAAATATTTTAGAAATTTTATATTAATATTTTATATTTTCAAATTAAATAAAAATAAAGTCAACATTTGCGAAAAAATAAGAAAATATATATGTAATAATAAATATAAAAATATAAGTGAAAATATATATAAAAAATAAATAAATATAATATAAATTATAATAATAATTAGGGTATTATCAGCCAGCTGGACCACTGATACAACATCCACCAACTTTACCACCTATTAAGGGTCCTCCTCCAGAACCAACACCTACACCTCCACAGAATTCTGAAGGTTCAGATGATTTAGTTGCAACTTCTACAACTTCTGGGGGAACTAACAGTACAGGTATATTTATACAGGGTGCGATATTTAAATATTTCTATTATTTAGAAATTTTATGAAAAATCTTCAAAATAAATTAACATTATTTGAAAGAGATTATATAACATTAGGAAAATTTCTTTTTTTAATATCATTTTCAATGAAGATAAAGATTTTTTTATATTTTTTATTTAGACAAATTTAGCGACTTATAAAATTATTTCGTTTTCGAAAAAATCAATTTATAAAATTATGACTATTATTATAGTTAGAATATCATATGTTTTTAAAATTTATTTGAAACAACTTTTTATAAAACAAATCATTTGATTTTTACAGAATTTTTTCATTGATAAATTTCAATCATTTAAGATTCACTTTTATATTTTTGATTATTTAATTAAAGCTGATTAAATTTTGTATATATAATACTTTAAAATAATTAAAAAAAAAATATAAAAGAATATATATAAATTCTTACTATTAATTATTATTTTTAAGAAAAGATTTAATTATTTCCAATTCTTTTTCATAATTAAAAAACTTATAATTTTGTATTTATTAAATATCTTTTTTTTTTGTTTAATTAAATAATTTTTAATCTTTTTTATTGTTTTAAAATCTTTTTTAAAATTTTTTTTTTGATCAAATTAATAAAATTATATAATTAAAAGTCTATATATTAAATTATAATTTTCAAGTTTTTAGTAGTAATTTATTAATGAAAATTTTCAGATTAATTTATAAATTGTTTGTTATTATATAAATTGTGTGAAGAAAATTTTAATTATCAAATAATAATAAAAATATCTTAGTAATCTTAGAAAAAAATATTTAAAATCTTTTTAAATAAATAAAAATTAGATTACATAAATAAATTTTATTTTTTTATATCTTTTATTTTTTAATACTATTTAAATAGTGGTCATTAAAGAAATATATAATAGTATAAAATAAATTTTTATATAATACAATTATTTTTTTAAAAGTTTCAAAAATATATTAATATATTAATATATTAATATATAGTTTTATTTATAAAATTAAACAATAATATTTTATTCGTTTTTACTAGTTCTTCAACTATTTTTAATTTTTAATTTACTCACTAAAATATTTTTATCAATTTTTTGATTATACAATAAATTTTTTTTTTAATTATATTGTATTTTATATTTTTAAAATAAAATGAAAAAATAATTATATTATAAACAAGAAAACAATTTATTAAATTGATAAATATTAAAAAAAAATTTGATAGAAAACAATGTATTTTGAATTATGTTACAATTTTTATGATAATATCAGATTTCTTATGTTTTTTTTATTACAATGCTGATTTCAGAATATTACAATGTAATTAAAAGAGCAATCAAAGTAAAGCATTATAAATTGTTTTCTTAGAAATCAATAGAAATATTAATTTTCTTTTTTTTTTTTTTTAATTAAATAAAGCTTAAATTTTAAGTCGAATTCCTTATTACTTACTTAGATATTAATTTCTTGTTATTTGGATATTATAATTAATAATTAATATAATTTTTATTTAAATCATTCTTTTTATAATATAAATATATATTATATATATTTTTAATATAAATATATATTATAGTATATATATATTATAAAAAAAACTTTCATTAACTAACTTCGTAACTAAAAACAAAAAAAAATATATTAAAATAGAATCTAATCAAAATAATGTTCTTACGTTTTTAAACGTTTTTATTTATTATGTCTTTTTGAATATTTTTTCAAATATTTCATAGCTAATGAAATAATCAATATATAAATAATTATATATGTATATGCATTGTTAATATAATATATATAATATATATTATATATATACATAATTATTATATATTACATAATTATATATTATATTACATATTATATATTACATATATATATTACATAATTATTATATATACATTACATAATTATTATATATACATTACATAAATAATTAATATTATTTAATAAATATATATGCAATGTTATTTTTATTATCATTCTTAAATAAAAATTATAAAAATTTTAATAATGTTTAGGAGTTAAAGACATTGTTTTGAAGATCTAACAAAATGGCAATATTTTTTTTATTAAGTAATAAAAAATTAATATTATTTTTTATAAAAAAAATTTAGGAAATTCATTCTTATCTCTTAAGTCACTTTAACAAAATTTTAAAAAAATAAAAAATTACTTATTTTTGTGTTTTTTAATTACAAAAATAAATAAATAAATAAATATCTTTATAAATAAATAAATCGATATCTTTATAAATTTCTAAGAAAATAGATTATAATTCTTTATTTGGATTATTCTGTATACAAATCTAAGTGTTAATATATTGATATAACAAAAAATATATTTGAAAAATTAATTCTAGAATCCAAAACAAATATAAAAATTAGTATACAAATATATCAGATAATGCTTATTTATAAATAATTTAAATCGATTTCAAAAGTGTATGTTTTTTGTATAAAATTAAATTGTTTATAATTTGAAAAATAATAGAGAGTTTTGCATGTCAACTTTTATATTTCTTTTATTTTTCTCTAGAAGTCAGTTTTTAAATTTTCTATTTAATATTTTATATAATAATTATCTTATTTAATAATTACCTTATATAATAATTACCTTATTTTATATAACAGGGAATATGAATGATCTATAGTATATAGTATCTATTAAAATGAAAACATTATTTATTTTAATTTCACGGTTATAAAATGAATATGGCAATATTAGTATAAACATATGACAATTTTTTTTTATATATATTTTATACAATATCTTTAAAATAAAGACAGTATTTATATTTTGACATGAATATAAAACGAACGTAGCAATATTAGAATAAATAAATAAAATAATTTTTTTTTTCTATTCATGATTTTTAATAGCGAATAAAAGTTGCTTTTTCTAGTAATTAAATAATAAATTTAATTTGATATATTCATTTTAAAATAATTTGATATATTCATTTTAAAATATCAATAAAATATCTATTTAAAAATATAAAGACTGAAGAAAAAGAATATTAAAAATATGTTTAAGAAAAAATAAAAAATTAAAATTTCAAAGTTTTTACTGCATATATAATAGTTAATTTTATTAGAAATTATCTTTTAAATTTGAAAGATTAGAAGTTTTTTTTACTATTAGAAAATAATCATACAATTTTGATTTTTTCATTTTACCTTAATGCATAATTTTTTGCAAAGTTTTTATAAAGTATATATAAGTTTTTTTATTGATAAGTAAAAATAAATTAATAAATTTTTAAAAATAATATTAATTTTATTGTTAATCTTACAAAATATATTATTTTATTTAATATTAGAATGGACTTATAAAAAAATCCCTCTTTCACGGATTTTAATAAATTTGAAATATGTTATATAAAGAGCAATGCTAAACTTTCCTTCAATTTCAATAAGCTTCATATATATCCGATTTATCTTGAACCATTCAAATATCTCTAAAAAATGTGATTGATCTGAAAAAATGTTTCAAACAAAAGTTATTTAATGGAAAGAGATATTATGATTATGTAGTAATGTTCTATTAAATTGATATGAAAAGTCATGAAGATTAATTTTAATTTTTTAAATGAAATCGTATAATTTTTATTGCATTAATCAAATCAGTTCGTTATTTCCTACTAAGCTATTTATTATTGAAAAATCTTTAGGAGATATTGTAACTTGGAATTTGTAAAACTTATCATATGGAAGATAAGGAAGTACTTATGCTCTTCTTGTCTTTTATATGATAAGTTTTACAAATTTTAAATTACAATATATCCTAAGCTAAAGATTTTTCGACATAAATAGTACTTAGTACTTTTTTGTAAGAAATAATGAGTTAACAATTAGTGCAATAAAAATTGCATGATTTTATTTCAAAAATTAAAATTGATTTAATATAGCTTTTAGATATCAATTTGTAAAAAAATTATTAATACTGCATAATATATCTTTATATCAAATATCAAACAATATATCTAATATATTTAATATATCTAATATATCAAACAATTTTTCTTTGAAACATTTTTTATATCATTCATATTTTTCATATATTTTTTTTTTTTTTTTTTGAGTGATTCGAAATATATTATATATTATATTATATATAATATTATTAATAACATTATTTTGAACAATTTTTTCATTTACATGTAATTGATTTTATACTTTTTAATATATTGGTAAAAAATTTTCTATATCATATATTAAATTTTGCATATGTATATTTCTGTATATATATTAGAAACGACCTCTTATATTTCGATATTTAACATTTCTATTTTCTTTATATAAATAAAAAAAATTAAGATTTTTAATCTTTAGAATAATCATTTTAATAATAATTTTTCAATAAATAAATAAATAAATAATAAATAAATTATATCAAATTATTTAGTTCTATATCAATTTTTATTTAGTTCTAAATTTTTATTACATTTTAATTGATATAAAAATGAAATAGATTTCATCCAAGTTTTAAATCATCTTTTACTGAATGGTAATTATGCTAGATTAAAATGCAATCGACACAGCAGAATAATTTATTCACGTGATTTTGTGTTTAGAAATAGAAAAGTTCATTTTTTGATTATAATTTATATTATCAAATTTTTAGAAAAATTTTAATCGATATTTTTTGTTTTTTAATTAAAAAACAGTAAAAATTTTTCTGATATTTATTGATATAAATAATATATAAAAAATAAAAAAGAATATATATGTAGTATGATTAAACTATAAAGAAAATTGTACTGAAAGTTTACTTTTATATTTATAGAAAAAAAATTATTCAAAATATTGTCATTTATGATGTATTTCAAGTTTATGAAAATTCAATGATCTTTTGATAAGATTTTTATCCCTTTATAAAGGATTCTATCTTTATTAAAAATCATTTGAAAAAAAAACAAAATTTAATAGATGCATGCAAATAAATAAACTTATTATGTTTGATAAAAAATATCGCAAAAATTTGCTGGAAAATTGCTTATTATTAAGTAGTAAGTTTGTATATTGATATAGAAAATATCCTTGTCGCTTTTATTTTTTTCACTAAAAAAATCTTGTAATTTCGCGAACTTTCAGTTTTTATTTATTAATTTAGAATATTCGTTTTTTTCGTAGATTTTTAATTTTGATGTGTTATTCTTATAATGTTCTTATAACGATTTGAACTATTTAAATTTTAATTTTTATTATAATTTTTGAATTGTATCATTTATTTAGTGAATATGCGACATATTTTTGATAATTGCACAAATAAATTTAAAAAATAATATTTGAACAGATTTAGTTTTTCGATAAGTTATAAATTTTTAGAGCCTTATTTTGTATTTCGAATTTAATCATTTAGTCATTCAATTACAAGAATGAATAATTCAGTTAATTTTTATCCAATTTATTTTAAATTTTAAATAATGAATAATTTTCTAATATTGTTTTTTTCAGATACACATGAAATTTTTAATTGAATAACATACAAATTTATTATTTTTATTATCTTATTGTATGAAGTTCAAAATAATTATTTATGCATAAATCTATCATTAAATTCGTTAAAATTAAAAAATAAAATCAAAAAATAATTTGGAAATTTTCAAATATTTTGAATTAGAATTTTGTAATAATTCAATTGATCAAAATTATTGTATAAATGAAAAAATGATATTTTATATTTTTATGTTTTAAAACCATAATAAAATAAGCAATTTCAAATAGAAATTATAGATACTGATTACGATAAATTCATTTTACCAAAGTTTTTTTTTATTGGCTTAAAATATTTACAATTAATTTCTCTCATGGAATTATAACTAAATTCATTGTATGTATTTTTAAGATTTTAAAAAATTTAATATGAATAAAAAATATATAGATTTTTATAATAAATATATAGATTATCAATTTTTATATATGAAATAAGATTTAAATAATAATGCATAATAAAATGTTCATTTTTCATTTTTTAAGAAAGAATTTAATAAGTGTGATTTGTAGAATAATAAAAAATAATTGATTCATACTTTATTTTAGGCATGTTATTTAATTTTTAATTTTATTTTATTATTTAAATTTAAGAAACACAATTATTTTCCCAAATTTGATCTAATAGTTAATTTGAAAAATATTAGAAATAAGAAAAGAATTTTTGAACAATAATTAAAATATAAAATAGTTTTTAAAATATTATAAAGATGTGAGAGTTAACGAAAATTTTTTTAAATTTTTGATATGGTTTAAAAATTACATATAACATATATAATATATACTATATACTATATTTATAGTGGCTCATAAAACATTTGAATATTATTTTATATATTTTATATTTTTATAGAAAAATTTATTTAGTTCGAAATTTTTGATTTTAATAAAATAAACTTTCTATATATATAAAACATAATTGATATAAAGAAATTTTTTTATCGACAAGAAATCTTTTTCAAAGGGTGAAATCAATCGTAAGTTATCAACATTTTTTTCAATTTTTAATACAAATTTATCTGAGAATTTTTTTATAGCAGAGTAATAGAGCATTAAATTTTACACAAATTTTAATTAAAAATTTTGTATTTTAAATGTAATTTTGTCTGACAAAATTATATTTAAAGAAATGAAAATTCATTAAAATCATTGAGCACTGATTTCATCTCTTTAAAATGGCATCTTATTAAAAAAGAAATTACTTCATATATAATCTATAAATAATTATATAATATAATTATATAATTGTTATAGTATAAATTATATAGTATAGTATAGTATAGTATAGTATAGTATATATATAAGTATAGTATAAATTATGAATATCGTATATAAGTATATATAAATATAGTATAAATTATGAAGTTTCATTAAAAATAAAAAATTATTAATATTTCATTAAAAAAAAATATTACAAATCATTTTTTTTTAAATTATAGCAAATAATTGATTAATTTTTTTTCTTTTTATTTTAATGATACAAGAGAATTAATATCTTAAGATATAAGAGATTTGTCTGTGACAATTGCAAAAAAAAATACGAGAATTTTCTACATTATTGAAAATTTTTTATAAATTTTCACGAAGTATAAGGATCTCTTGAAAACTAAATTTGTTTGAAATTTTTGAGTAATCGTTATTTTGTATATAACTAAAGAGTTATGATAAAAAGAAAATTTAAAAGGAAATTAAAGCTAAGGCATCAAAGAAATTAATTAAAATAGATTTATTTTGAAATGAAATTTTAGGCATTCAAAATAATAAATATTTATTGACATTCGCTTTTCAAATCGAAAATTCGAAAATATCAAACTGCTTAAATTGTTTCCATTTATTCGATATTTTAAACATAAAAATACATAATATAATTTTTTGCATTAGAAACTATCATAAAATACAAATATCATAATAAAAATTATATATATTAATACAAATATTTATAATTTTAATAAAATGCAATTTAATCATTGTTATAATTTTTCTATAGAATAATTTCAATGATTTTTTATTCAAATATCAAATAATCATTTGCTTTTTTTTAGGAGGTGGATTTTATAGGGCATATTGTCCTCAATACTATGGTACACCACCACAATACGCAGATCTATGTTATCCACCTACGTATTCCCATCCTCATGCTCATCCACCGCCTTATTATAAATATGCACCAACTTATAGAAGGTAAAATATTTTAACCATATTATTTTTGTATTATTTTGATGAAATTGTGATGATTAATTTTGATAATGTATTGTAAAAAAAGGTACTTTTTTAGGCAGTATTATGGATATCAGGAATCCGGTGGAGGCGGCGGTCCTGGTAATGGTGCTACTGCAGGTGGACCAACAGTTGTTGATTACCAGCCACCCCCACCGCCGCCAGGTGAATACCCTTTGCCTCCATACTACGGAGGATATCCTCCACCTCCACCACCACCTCCACCTCCACCAAATCCGGCATATTTGCATTCTCAGGGAAGACCTTTTGTAGATCGTGAGTATCTCTTTATCAAATTATATGATCATAATCATTTACATATCCTGTTGGATTAATTTCGTAATCTTTTTATAAAATAAATATAAATTAATAAAACTTACGATTGATTTGCTATTAAATTATTTATTACTATTCAATTACGATATTATATAAAAGTTGAAAATAATAGATATATTCAAGAAAAAAAATAATAAAAAGATAAAATATTTATCAATAATAAAATTATTATTTATCAATAATAAAATTAAATTTAACTTATCGATTGAGCTCTTTTTCAATTAATTTTAATATTAATCTTAATGGGTTTGAAATATGTCGTAAATAGCTTCATTTTGAGTAACTTTTCCTTTTTTATATAATTGGATTTAGTTTTCGAGTTATTTGTAAAAAATTTTTGATATTATACTATTTACCATAAATTTTATCTATATCGTAATTTAAGTTAATTGGAAATAATATATATGTATAATAAACTTTTTCATTTCCTTATGGATTAGAATGAGAGTTTTCTTTAAAATTGATATATATATATTATGAGAAATCTAATCATCAGAAATTTTCATTATGATTTCGATCACTTAAGGGCGATATAATTCCAAAGAAAAAATTGATGATTTGCTTGATCATCAATCGATACAAAATTTAAAGAAAAAAGTGAATTTTAGATTTAAAATTTTTTAACTTCAAATATTATTTATTATTTTCTAAGATATATATAAAAATTTTTGGTATTATATATTAAAAGCTGTATTTAGATATTAATATAATAATCTTCGCATAATTTGTCGAATAGCCAATAATATCTAACTATATCGTTTTAGTATCTATAGGGTGTTTCATCAAAATTCATCAAAAATCTAATCATTCAAGAAATTAAACCAAATGCAAAGTACGATGTTCCGTATAAATGAAAAAAAAAACGAATTTGCAGGTAAAAATATTGTATATAGATATGGCAATTATTATGTTAATTTCGAATAAAAAAGATATTGGTTAGGTTAATGTAATGGATGTTACATTAGGTTAGGTATATTGGTTAGGTTAAAATTTAAAAGTAGTTCCCGCGTGATTTTTCATAAAAGCAATTAAAGATTTTACATGAGATGTCCTATAAATATTAAGATTGATTATTAAACACTTGACGATGATGATTTCTATAGCGAAGACGATTGTATTATAATCACGTTTGTATAGACAGAAAATAATATATAATATTGAAAATTATTCATTAATATGAATAATCAGAAATTAATAAATATTCAAAACTAAAATTTTATATTTTATTTCTTCTTTCTATAGGTCTCTATCTATCATCTTTCCAAATTTCGTGTTGATCGAGGCCACCAAAGCTTTTCAAAACTTTATTCATCCAAGGATTGTTTTATATTATAAAAAAAATTCATGGATAGATACTAAATATAATGATATTTTGTTCATCCGTTATATGTTTAAACAGTTGTATGATCGCATACTGTTACACGTGCTGCTACGAACGCATGTGCATAAGCAGAATTCAATTTAATAATATCATTTTTGTAATATAGTTTTTTTTTTATAAAAAAATAACTCAAAAACTAAATTGGAGGAAGGAGGAAAATACTCGACAGATTCATTATTAAATTTTATGAAACAATGATAGATTTAATAAATTATGATAATATTTAATGAAATATTAAATAATTTGTTGTAGATGCAGCCTTTCAGGGTTGCCCATGCCCGATGCAGTCTTGTCCAAAAAACGTGGATACTGGGCCCCTTATTGGTAATGGTAAGGGAGCGCCAGTGGTATCGGGGCCCGGTCTGTCATTGCCGCCCAGTGCTTTGGTGGGTCCGCCCTCGCCGGCGAGGGGGCTAGCCGGGCTAGCGCCGCCTCACGGTGCCAATGCCTGGGATACGGATCGCGTCCAACTTAACACTCATCGCAACCTGAATCAGAACCAACCATCGGTCCCTCCGTCTCACAATCTAGTCGGTGGACATAATCACCCGCGAAATTCGGATTGTAAGAATAAGGTTTGTATTATGTTCGAAGTACTTTATAAGTTTATATCGCTATCTTATCAATTTTATCATGACACTATATTATTCTTGTAATTCAATCACTTAATCATTTACAGTTCTACAAATTATTATATTTCTTGTACTCACATATACTTCGACGACAAAGCAGTTTTATTAGTAAAGACGATACATTAACAGATTTCCGAAAATGAAAATTTTAATTTTAATATTATAAAATCCGTATTTCGAAAAGTGAAGTTGCGAAAAGTATGGTACATTTTAAAATGATATATAAATACAATCTTACAATCTCTTAAACATTATTTATAAAAATAAACGTAATCATGACATAATGTGTATTGTATACAAGATCTAGTGATCTGCACATCATGATGTACAGAAAATTATATTGTATATATTTATTTATAATAATTTATATTATATTGGAGAATTATTATTTTGTAATATATATAAGGATAAAAGTTCACATTATCTTATAAGAGAATTTTAATTTCAGTGAAAATTTGTGTATATAGAAAAATAATGGAAAAACTGTTTTTTTGGTAGAAAATTTCTTTAAGAGAATGAAATTTCATTTTTCATATTTTCAATAGAATTTTATCTGGGAATGAAAAGTTGTTTAAAAAAACGAAAAAATTATTGAATCTTTGAGCATTAAATTTATTTTTAAGTGATATTTCGTTAAAAAAAATTGTTTAAAGAAAAAATTATGTTATATATTCATATAAAATTATTTTTTATATACTCAACAAGTTAAAAAGTAATAATAACATTTATATATTATTATATAATATTTATAATGTAAATATAATTTTTTTTATTGGAATATTATTTTAAGAAGATTTTAAGAAAAATATTTAAAATTTTTTTTTTTATTATCTGTTTATTTAAATATAATTTTGTAATGATACGAGATGAAAACTTTTATGTAAAAAATATTTAATTTTTAATGTTCTATTAAAAATTATATATAATATAGAAAATTGTTCAAAACATATTAAATAGTATTAAAAGCTTGAAATTATAGTATTAAAATTTATGAAATTTATTAGCATTATACTTTTTTAATTTTAATCATTAAAGCATTAAATAAATAAAATTTACATTACTATTTACAACGAATATTACAATATAAAAATCAATTAAAAATTATTAATTCAAAAACACTATTACAAATAATTATAAACAAATATATATACATGTAAAAAATATATATATGTAGATGATCTCTCGTAATATTGAATATTAATATCGAATTTCTGATATATTAATATTCGACTATTTATTATTTATATTTTATTTTAAATGAATATTATATATACCTGACATTCCAGATCGAGCTCAGATCAGAAATTTTTTCGGATTTGAACAGAATTTCGAAAGTTTGCTTGATACATAAAGACGTTTGAGTATCTGCAATTTCGAAGTATGATATGGAATTCGGATGATTCGGAACTTAAAGTATAATTCGAGATTTGAAATACGATTCGAAATTCAAAGTATAATCGAAAAATGATTCAGGATTCGAAAAACGATTCGAGGTACTTTCCGCCCGAGATTTCGCCCGATCCAATCCAAGAATCGAGTAGTCACAGCCTATATTCGTCACATTAATTACAATTTCTTTCTGAATAGAAAGTAAATAATAAGAAATTAATAGAATTAGATATAAATAGAGATTTTTAATTTTTTCAATTTATTTTTTATATGCTCATTTTATGAATTGAATTATGAAATTTTCATAAATATAGAACTATAGTAATTATATTAATTAATATAAATAATTTTATATTATAAGTTTATATAAAAAATATATTTAGAATCAATTATAATTTGTAATTTATAATTGTTATTTTTTTTTTTTTTAGGATGAAAAAAATTGTTCTGAAGAAAAATTACGAAAATGTGAATGTCAAAAACATGCTTGTACATCAACTTGTGAAGTCAAATTAGAAACTCTTTCACCTTCAGAAAAACTAGCAGTGACAACTTGTCCAAGTAGCAAATTCCATAATTTTAAGTTGGAAAATAATAATGTGAAATGTGAATCCTGTAGCATGGAAATGGGTGATAATTTGTCTTGTGTTGCAAATTGTAATGTAAAGTGTGAATCAGATTATAAATGCGATATCATGAAATGTGAACAATGTATGAAGGAAGGTCAAATGGCAATTCTGGAAATAGACAAAGATTCTGGAATATTACTTGATGATAAATTAGATGCAGATCCAGATGTTAAAGAAGAATTAAGTGATGTTATAGCTATTGATAGTGAAAATTGGAAAAAACCTGATTATGAACCAACTGTGCAAGAGACTATCGAAGAAACTATGGATATTGTAGAAAAACCAGGAATAGAGGAACATTCAAAATGTCAGAAAGTAACAAAAAGAAAATTATCTTTAGATAGTCTATCTGATAGTAGAAAAAAGAGAAAAGTAAGCAAAAGGACTCTTTCTGTTGGTTCATCGCAAGATTTAAATAATAGTGATTTTTCAACAAGAATTTCTATACCAATCTTATCATTTATAAAAAAGATTGACAACAATAGTGATGAAGTTTCTAAGAAAAAACAACCTAAAAAAGATAATCAAAATCAAAAACGTAAAATAGAAAATTCAAATTATCTTGAAAATGCAATGAAGAAATCAAAAACTTTTAAACAAAATACAATTAATAATATTCCAAATTGTGTAAAACATGCTGCCACTGATAATTCTATTATGGAAACTATTAATAATGTTATTCAACAAAGTTTACAAATGACACAAAAAAGAGATCGTAAAAATAAAAATATTGAAAAGTCAGAAAAGGCAAAAAAAGAAGTCAATTTATTAGTTGTAAAAAAATCAACCAAAAAAATTGATTTAGTAAAAGAATTGACATCAGAGAAAGTGTCGAAAGTTATTAATAAAAATAAACACTCTAAAGGTAAATCAGAAACACGAACAAAATCAAGAACATATGAGAAGAATAGATGTAAAGGAAAAGGTAAATCCAAAACACATGAAACAAAAACGAAAGATAATGGAAAAAAACATGAGAGTATAACAAAATCTAAAGTATATGACATTCACGAATCAACAAAGAAGCCAGCATTGATAAAAAAGAAGCGAAAAAGTACGAAAAAACCGCCTGTCAAAAAATCTAATTCCAAAGTTGATGATTGTTTAGTAGGAAGTGAAAGTTTAATATTAACTAAAAAAACATTTTTAAAACCCAAATGGAGTAATGGTTGGAGTTGGGAAGGTGATCCTTTTGAAGCCAAAGTTTATCTAACGGTAATTGTATGATTGAAAGATTTTTTCATGACATAAGGATATATTGAATAATTTCATTCTTTTTATTATTTTATTTAGAATGAAGAATCAGCTATACGTCGATGTTATGCAAGTATGAAACATGAAAGTGGTGATGTTCTAAGACCTCGTGATTGCGTTTTATTAAAAAGTGGTCCACGAAAAGCGGATTTACCATTCGTAGCAAAAATAGCTGCTTTATGGGAAAATCCAGATGATGGTTTGTTTGTTAACATAATTTTTAAAATATAAAGTTCGGAAAAGTTCGCAAAATAAAAAATATTTTCTTTTTTCAGGTGAAATGATGTTTTCTTTATTGTGGTACTACAGACCTGAACATACTGAGCAAGGTAGAACTCAATATGATACCGAAGACGAAGTTTTTGCTTCACGACATCGAGATGCAAACAGTGTTGCTTGTATAGAAGATAAATGTTATATTTTGACATTTAATGAATATTGTCGGTAAGTCAAATTTTTTTATCTATTAATTATTATTATATGTAATTAATATATAAACAATACTTTCTGTTTATATTTATATCATTCAAAAGTAAATTGATCTGAAAAGATAAATATTAATTATAATATTATTTCTATCAAACTTAATTCTTATGTGAACAAATATATCATCTTATGTTTGTTATTTCAATATTCTCTAAAATATAAATATAACAAAAAATTACATGATTTCATTTAAAAAACTCAAGATGATTTTGAATTCAAATATATATTATCTCTATGTTTTTTATTCAGTATAAATAAATTAATAATGTTTTTTTTTTTATTATAATATTTCAATAATACGAATTGTCATAAACACCCTGTATATTTAAAAAGTTTGTTTAATCAAATGGGAATTATTATAAATTAATAACTTATAATTAATATAGTCTAATTTTAAATGAAATGATGCTATAAAGACATAAAAGTAAAAAAAATATATATATATATATTAATTAAAATTAAAATATATAATATATATGTTAATTAAAAAATTTTTTTTAATTAATATAATTCGCAATGTAATTAATAATTATTTCTATAGTAATTAAATATTTTGAAAAAAAAATAATAGATTTTAAAAATAAGATATTATGAATATTAATATAATTTATAGGTATCGTAAAAATTTACGAAGAATTGAAGAAGGATTAGAAAGTCCCGGTTTAATAGTTCCACCGGGAGACCAACTATATCCAAGAGAAAATCGGCAACCTCCGATACCAGTACCTTCGGATATGGTTCTTTTTTGTCGACGCGTTTATGATTATCGCGGTAAAAAACTTGTTAAAAATCCTGGATGACTCGATTTTTTATAAAAAAAAAAAAAAAAAAAAATTTTGAA